ATGCATGACCAGCGTCCCCCTGTGGTCTACCTGCACAGTCACACACTCCTTCAACTTGTCCCCCCTTGAACACATGTTCTCCCAGTGTCTCTTACGCTGCTTAGGAAGTATGACTATGGAGGATGTCACGCGTGGGCCTGTACATACATGGGAGTGCACTGGCAAGGCAGCAGGAGTTTCTTTGGAGGAGGAAGGCTGAGGCAGAAAGACGCGTAAGAGGGACTCGGACTTGTCGGTAGAGAGATTGCAAGAAAAAAAACACCCCAAAACCAAGAAATGGCCTCAATCTTTCACCCCTCACTGAGCCTGCACGTTCACAAAGCGACCTCTTGTGGCTCCTCCCCTCCAGAGGAGTCCTTTGGCCCATACCTGAAGCTGGGCTTGCTAGTGGCTTATCTGGACCAACAGACTGTGGTGGAAGCAATACAACACAGCCCAAGACAGTGTACCTGCTCTTGAATCTCAGAAACACCAGCTGAACAAGCCTGATCTACCCTGTTGGGGGTCTGGGAGACCAGGTGGGGCAGAGCCAAGTGCCCCAGGCACAACTGTTCTAGGCTCACCAGGTTCCATTGAGCCAACCAACTGACCACTGAAGCAGGAGTGAACCCAGCCAAGGACAGCCAACAGCCCATCAACCCTCCACCAGACAGCTCAGAGGACACCGACTGACCATGGGCAGACACGTGGGGTGAGCCTAGAACTGCCGCCACTGGCCTGCGTATTAGCACACTGAATAAATGCTTAGTGATTTAGCACATTGGCTTTGAGGCTGTTGCACTTAAAATAAGGCAAAATCCATGCAATACCACACCGACAATAAATGACCAATACAACCTTTAGTATGGACGATCATACACGGCAGGCAGGGCCTGAGGGCCACGAGGAGTTGCTGTTGTTCTAACCATCAGATGGTTTATATCCCCAGGAAATGAGAGCGGGTCAGAGGATCCCTGCTGGGGACATCTCCATGTGGGCGGTCACCGTCACATGGTTGGTTTGTGCATGGGTCACACCGAGCAACTTCCTATCAGATCCTATCTGCTACCGTGGTGATTCTTTCAAATTGTATCTCCTTATTTGACAGAGAGCAAGCGAGGATTTCCATTTACTGAGCATTCCCCAAATGCTTCCAATGACCAGGGCTGAGCCAGGCCAAAACCAGGAGTCAGCCACTGAGACTAGATCTACATGAGTGACAGGAGCTCGTGGACTTGAGCCATCATCACTACCTCCCAGGGTCTGCACTGCAGGAAGCCTGAGCCTGCAGCAGGAGCTGGGAACTGTACCCAGTTCCCCAGTGTGGGACCCGCACCCCTAAGTGCCAGCCTATGGGCTAATGTCCACTTTCAGATATTAATAAGACACCAGTACAGCAATGAGCTAATCGTTCTGTTTTTATCAGTGAAGACCTGTCAGAACCCAAATCTGACAGAACCTGTACTTACAATTTTTATTTTTTATCTCATACACTCCTTTTGACAATCTGAATAAGCCAGTAGTCCCTTCAAAACACATACAGGGCATGGCACGGTAGCCTAATGGCTAAAATCCTCACATTGCTGTGCCAGGATCCCATATGGGCACCAGTTCATATCCTGGCTGTTCCACTTCCCTTCCAGCTCCCTACCTGTGGCCTGGGAAAGCAGTCGAGGACAGCCCAAAGCCTTGGGACCCTGCTCCTGCATGGGAGACATGGAAGAAGCTCCTGGCACCTGGCTTCAGATCGGCTCAGCTCTGGTCATTGCGGCCACTAAGGGAGTGAACCAGTGGATGAAAGATCTTTCTCTCTATCTCCTTCTGTCTGTAAATCTGACTTACCAATAAAAATAAAGAGAATCTTTAAAAAAGACACACACACATATAAAGGAATCCCCTTAGATGGAAATGAATTTCTCGAGTACTAAAAAAAAAAAGCCTGAGGTAATCCTACTCCGTCTGTTTAGTTGGAGCTTTACATTAAAATCGATCAAATTCAACAAGCACTTTTATCTCCGAGCAGCAGGGAGCATCAACAAACGTTGTGTCTGTATCATCATCATCTGTCACATGCCATAACAATCATCTGTCACTTCTACGGGTGACAATCACAGCACTGCATAGGAGGACGGCGCATTTGTCATGTCAGTAATATAAGGAAGGGCCACTCTCCCCTTGGAAAAGCAAAAGCCAGCGGCGCAGTTCAACACGGACACAGATCGACTGGCTGGCTTCCTCCGACTTCCTGCAAGCTTTGCCCGCATCGGCGGTAATACAGCCAGCGCTGCCCACCCAGGGCCCCTTGGCGTGGCCCACAGATCTCCTCCACTACCTCAGCTGGCGTCTTGAGAATGAGCCGACCTGGTGATCCAGGATGGCATTTCCCAGTGGCTTTGAACATCACACCACCGTCTGCCCAATCCCCCATTCCCAGCCAACCAGAGACACTGGGGCCTGAGCACGGCCTGTTTCTGTTCTCCCTAGGACCCCCCCACAGGTCAGCTCCACAGTGCGGTCTTGCAGCCTTGGGAACCTCCCCTCCCCTGCAGCCTGTTGGGGTGGGGGGCTAGCTGCAAGGGAAGAGGACTTGGGCTCCACTGTGGACCCTTCCCACCTCTGTGCAAAGGCCTCTAGGGGATGAGGGGGCTGTTGTTCTGTTAGCCTCAGTGTTGGGGTGACTTGGGTTAGCCATCCACACCTGCAGGCCTTGCCTTTGGTTCCTGTGCAGGCAGTGGCCTGGAGGAGTCGGATGTGAACACGTGGCCTGTGCCAGATGACGCGCTGGGTTTGACTCATGCTGGCATTAAACTTCGCCCTCCATGCCTTTCTGCCATGCTGCCTCCTGTGCAGGCCACCCTGCCACGCTCCCTTGTTGTCCTGTCCCCTGCCTCCTATCCCGGCCGCCAACACTGACCTGCATGGACGTTGCGCTGTCCCAGAATGGCTGCCGCCTCCTCCTCCTCTTGGGGCTTGGCCAGAGTCCACCTGGGGGGCCAGGAGGCTGGGGAGGTCCCGCTGCTATTGACCCATCGATCAGTCATGGTGTCTTGGACGATTCAAGAATCCTCTAGGCCTCTTGCATCTCCAAGCGTCTCAGGTGTGGCTCACTTTTGAGCCAAGAAGACTTCATTTGTTCTTGGCTTCAGGTGGGGTTGCCACCTCCCAGAGGAGCTCCGTGTGGATGGGCTGCAAGGTGTGAGGAAGCCACACGGGTGGCGCTGGGGGCACAGGGGCGGGAGGAGGGGACACACATCAAAGGCAGGAGGCTGGTGATAACACCACCGCAGTGGGGGAAAGTCAAGGGCTGACCTCTCTCTCACCTCTAGCCTGCTGTGTCCCCCACCCCCGCTGTGTTGACTGATGGCTTTGGCTTCAGCTGCTGTCTTAAGCAACAGTCCGTTTGCCCCACCGAGGTGGCCCCGTTTCACTGTGTCTTGACTTCTCAGATGTGTGTAGGCAGCGAGAGGAGATTTTCCCACGCACCTTCAAACCGAAAGGGCTGACCTTGTAGCCGATTCCCTTCTGAGTCACCTGGGGAGTCCCTGTTCCCCCTCACCGGACGCCCGGGTCGATGCGGCTGCCAGAGCAGGGCCCCCATCGGCCATGGAGCCTTCAGACGCCCAGCTGGGAGTGTGGGGCTCAAGGTTGCTGGGGCAGCTGCTCTGATGCTCAGCGGGGTAGCAGGACAGGTACAGGGGATGGGCAAGCTAACCTTGAGCACCTGTGTGTGCTTCAGTTGCTTTATTCCAGCCCCTAGCCTGGAGTAGCACTCACACCTGTGTGTCTCAGGATGTTTTTTTCCCAGCTCAGCCACAGCGAGTTCGGCTCCCTGGCAGGGTTGGGTTGGTCAAAGCATTTGCTGGTGACCTTACAGCTGACCCAAGGCACTGCAGGTGACTGGCCAGTGCCTTCATCAACGCCGTGTGTCCTGGGTCTGCTGCTATCTGGGGGCTGTGAGGGGAGATGCAGCAGACCTGGCTTTGTGCCCTTGAGGGTAGACTCAGATGTTACAGATATGACTTCCTCCAAGGAACTGACTGTGGGTGCCACGAGAGGGCGTGCTGCAACCTAGCAGATGGAGACACTGTTCCTGGTGACATCAGCATCCCATTTGGGCAGATTTAAGTCCCAGCTGCTCCACTTCTGACCCAGTTCTGTGCTAATGTACTGGGAAAGCAGCAGACAATGGCTGAATGCTCAGGTATTTTCCACTCACATGGGAGATCTGGAGTGCCATGTTTCTGGCTTTAGCCATGACCATTGTGGCCATTTGGGGGAGTGAACCAGTGGATTCAAGCTCTTTGCATTTCTCCTCTCTGTACCCATGCCTTAATAAAATATATCTTTAAAAAAGGGAGGGGGGTGCTGGAGAAAATCCTGGCAAGGGGAGGATTGAGGATTGGGAGAAAGAGCAGATGTTGGTGGAGGTGCCATGAAGCCTGGGACACTGAGGGGCCCAGCCCTGGTCATCCTGGATGTGGGGGACCCAAGCCTGAGCTCTACACTGCCAGCTGGTGCAGCAGTGGTTGGGGCTGTGCCCCCGGGTCTGGTCCCTGCTGCCCCTGGCACTGGTGCAGGAGTGGCTGGGGCCGTGCCCCCGGGTCTGGTTCCTGCTGCCCCTGGCACTGGTGCAGGAGTGGCTGGGGCCGTGCCCCTGGTCTGGTCCCTGCTGCCCCTGGCACTGGTGCAGGAGTGGCTGGGGCCGTGCCCCCGGGTCTGGTCCCTGGCAGCAGCATTGAGCCATTCATGGCTTTTCTCCACAATCCATGATTGCAATAAACTAGAAGTCTGTGCTGTGTTCCAAGTGCCCTGTGAGAACTATGGTACTGGGGACACGTGACTGAAAGTGGATGCTCACCTGGCACAGGTGGACTGGCAGGCAGAATCCAGATGCCTGGCTACCCGGCAGCTTCCGAGCACCTGCTGGCTCAAGTCCCTGTGAAAAGCCACTGTCAGTTTGGGTAACTTTGTTATTCACCTTATGATTCATCCTCTTTGAAGGAAAGCAGGACAAGGCTATGTTCAATGTTATAGTGTTTATTTAAATCCCGAGGTTAAAAAACAGGTCCAAAAAGTGTGGCAGACACCACGGGATTCAAGGTAAGCAATGTGTTTCTGGGCAGTTCTTTGGCAGGGGAGAAGGGAATGGGGTCCCTGGACCCACATCTCCTAAGGCCGTGAGAACGGAGCTTCACTCAGGGAAAGTGCAACGGGAAGGCGGAGCCTCCCAGCGGAGGCCTGGTGCCACCTGCGAGGCAGGGCTTCCCTGGGTGACACGCGTCGTGAGACTCTAAGGAAGCTCATTCCAAAATGTCACAATATACTCTATGATTTTACAAAAGTGCTTAAGAGGGAACGGAACAATTTTCTTGGGTCCTGGAAAGAATTATGGTGGGGTGAGAGAAACCTGCCCAGGGTTCTGCAAAGTGGCACGGGAGTCCCTGAAGCACGCAGGGCTGGCTCGGTGGGGCTGTACCCAGACCAGCCTAGGCTCTCAGCACCATGGGGGACCTCCCCTGCTTTAGCTCCCAGCACCTTGGAGCTGAGGATGGACTCCCGGCCTAAAGATTTCCCACATGCAGGAGGATCAAGGCAGAACACCTGTAACATTGCAGCAAAGGATATGTAACTATGTCACCAAAGGTAGGGGATCCCCCTCCCCCAAAGGAATTTTGTTTCTTTTGGGCCAGCAATGGCTCCGTGTCCTTAGGGGACCACGAGGAAACACTCTGGTCTCCAATTCTGAGTTATCCAGTGTAGATTTTATTTCTGCTTTGCAGAGCCTGTGGGCTTTCCAGATTTCCGCTTGTATACACCTCTGCCTGTCCCGGTTCCTGCCAACCTGATACCAGATGCACTTCCTTGGCTGCTGTGCCTCTGGTAACAGCTGATGGACAGCTCCAGGTACAGGAAGTGAGGCAATTGGAACAGGGATCCGAGCAGGGGAATGGCGTTCAGAGAGCTGACCAAAGCCACTTGTGATTCTGAGTGTGACCGGCTAGCTGCCGGCTGCCACCTTCAACGGTGCTTCTTCAAGTGTCATTTGCAGTTTTTTTTTTTTTAAATGTCCCAGTCCCCAAACTGCAGTTAAAGTTGGGAACCTGTTTAAAATTATAATAATGCTTTTTAGGAAAGTCACCATTAAACAGGCCAGCATGTTCTCTCTAGCTACAAAGTACACTGCAAACTTGAACCTGAATGGCAAACTAATAGACACACACGTATCTATCCAGCATGAGAAATAAATATGTTAACGAACCCAAGTGGGTGGGGCAGTACCCGCCAGGGCGCCGGGCAAGCAGGCCCCTCGAGGCAACGAGGCAACGAGGGCCCCTTCTCGCACAGGGCTGGGTAACTCTGTAAGTGGAGTCTCCTGGAGCTGGGGGCTGGGCTGCGAGTGGTCCCCTGCTGTAACGAGCTGGGGTGAGCTTCACCCTGGGTCTTGGTTTGCTCAGGTCCATCCCAGGCCTCAGACATGTTAGACACCGGAGCAAGCTGGTTCTTCTTGCAGATGGCGCAGATGGTGCCAGCAGAGGGTTGCTGGTCTGGTCCTGGCACTCCAGAGCTGATTCTAGATGGCTCAGGGTTCTCTTCGGTTGGTTTCCTTCTTGTGGTGGTGGACAAGGCAACTTTTGACTTACCCCCAGCCAGGGGCGGAAGTGTTCAAAGGGAGGGGTCCAGTGCTGAACCCTCATGGGCCCCATGGTCATCTTTGATCCTGGCTGGGCACAATCTGGTCAGGGCCTTGAGCAGGAGCACATGCCTGGGCCCCTGGGGCTGCCGGCTGCTCCAAGTGAAGCTGAGTTCTTAGAGGGTGTCCCTTCGCTGCTCTGCTGGGACACAGGCTCAGCAACTGTCTCTCATTCATGGGCTTGCAGGGACTCTACCTTGCTGGTCGGGAGGCTCTGGCTATTGAAGGCCAGTGGGCCTGGGGTCTGTGCTGGTGCTGGTCTGAGCCATCCCCAAACCCTCAAACCCTGTCCTGGGATTACAGTCTACAGAGTGAGGCCCTGGAGGGGATCATGGGCTGCATGGAGTGGCAGTGGGGCCCAGTACTCAGGCCTCATGCCACCTGCCCAGTGCACAGTGCCTTCTGCCTTGGCTCTGGGGCTCTGCTCACTGCTGGGAGCACCGGGGCCTGGTGGCAGGGAAGGGGGCTGGCCTCTGTGGGGCCGAGAGATGGACAGGCCGTGGCAGGTGAGCTCTCTGGTGGAGAAGCAAAGGTGCACGGAGGGCAGGAAGATTATTGACTTCTCATCCAGGAGAAAGGGGGAACCCGGGCCTGTAGCTCTCCAAAAGTCAGGTGCCGGCTGAGCAGCAGGTAGTGGGGAGGTGGGGTAATAGGGAAGCAGGTAGGAAGAGGAGGACCAAGGAAGGCATGACCTGGACAGCAGGGCCGGGGACAAAGCACAGCCCAGGCCCCTCTAGGGCTGCTCAGCCCCAAGCTACCCCTCCCCTCCTAGTGTTCTATGTTCTGGGGGAGAGTGAGCCGTGTTTCCTGTACAGGAAGTGAGGCGATTCGAGCGCCTGGGGCCAGCTAGGGGAAGTCACTCCCGTCGTAGATCACAGGCCGGTCAACTGTCAAGTGATAGAAGACTTTTTTGGAGACAAACCTGAGGAAGCAGAAGCGGAAGGAGAGGGCGTTACCATGAGGGCTGAAAGCCCCAGGGTGGCAGGTGTTGTGGGGGCGCCTGTGGGCCCTGGCATGGTTCTGCTAGGTGTGGGTGCTGGAGCCCCAGGGCAGAATGCGGTACATCCGTGAGCAATGGGGTGGGAGCCCTGGGCCCCTTTCCTGCCATGCAGCAGGTACTCTCTGCTCTCCCTGTGCAGGGCCGGGGCCGGGACCACCAGCACAGAGCTCCTGGGGTCTGGGTACAGAAACGCCCTTGGTTCCCTGGGATCCCCTCTCTGCTCTTCCTGACCCACATGGCTGCGCCACAGCAGCTGAGAGCACAGGGCAGCAGCTGGACGAGGCCCAGGAGCAAGTGTGAGCTTCAAGCTGGTGTGGGTGGGCTTCAGCATAACTTGGTGTTGGTGTTAGTTTTGTCACTTAGGCTGTGAATGTCTCAGAGGGCCCCTGGAGATAAACCCCAGGGGTCCAGGTCAGACCATCATGGCCACAGGCACCTGCAATGGTGCCAGGGCACCCACCTGGCTTTGTGTCCTACAGGCAGTGACAACACTGGCCGAGCATACAGAGGCTTGGCTAGGGAGAATCCTCCCCTGGCTGTCCCCACCCCCCTCTGCTAACCTGTCCTGCATCCTGAAGGATGGGGACCTGCAGACAGTGGGACCACAGTAGAGCTGCAGAGGTGGCCTGGGGCCAGCCAGGTCTGCGATGCAGTCTCCCTGACACCAGACGTGTGTGTGCTCATTCTCCTAGGGGTGCTTAGGGGAAAGGGGGAGCTCTATCCTCTAATCTCTCCCAGGATGGAGACCCCAGGTACGGGTTTCTCCCATCCAAGTACTAACCAGGCCCGACCCTGCTTAGCTTCTGAGATCAGACGAGACTGCACGCATTCAGGGTGGTATGGCCGTAGACCCAGGTATGAGTCTCTCACAGGTCTTGTCCAGCTTTTCTGCTAACAGCCAAGTGCTCATATAGGGGAGGTGCCCACAGGCCCAGGCCCTGCTCGGAGAGGATGTGCCTGGGCACAGACCAGACACGTCTCTCCTAAGAGGCAGCCACAAGAGAGAGGCTATGCTGAAGCCAGAAGACGCAAAAGGGACAGGGCCCTTGTCTCTTGTGGCAGAGGCTGGGTCAGTGTGGATGGGTCCTCTGTCATGTCCTACCCTCTGCCCCACTCCACCCTCCTGACCCTGTCTCCTCCCAGCCCTTCGATTGTGCATGCCTGAACCCAGAACTGTTCTGAGGCCACTCGGGGGCCTGGACGGGGGTCCTGCCTTGCAAACTCAAGTTTCTCTCAACCTTCCTCCTTTACTCACGGTTCACTATTTGACAGCACCTCCGCTGGGTTTTCCTAAGCCCCCTGTGCTGTGGGACTCAGGGGTACACAGTCAGGACAAGTTGCTGACAAGTAACCGATGTCCAGCACCTGCCTCGGCGAGGGTGGCAGTCACGGGATGCAGGGGCAGGCGGGATCCTACCTGGAGAAGGTGTTGTCGAAGATAAGCATGTAGATGCCCGGAGCACGCACCTTCAGCTGCCCCTGGATGTTCTCCTTGTGGGAGTTGCAGCGTGTCGTGGGGATCAGCACCTACACAGAGGGTGGAGAAGAGGATGTGTCATGTGGATTGTGGAGCCCTGTCATCAGGGCAGACTCCTGACTCTGGGGAGTGGCCTGGAGACCTCGTGTGAGGTCACAGCTGAGCAGAACTGGGGCACCAGTCACCTGCCGACAACGACTGGGGGGGTCACCTATGCAGCCTGAGTTTGTTGAGACAACTCGAGGCAGGGGAGGCTGTGGTCTGACCTCCACCCAGGACTACGGCAGTCTCTCAGCCTCCCTCAGCCGCAGCCAGGGCCGGGGTGCTCCCATACCTGGTGCAGCAGTTGCTTCCTGGCATCCAGAAGCTGGAGCTGTTGGAGTGGAAGTGCACCTGCCAGGACCAGCCAGGCACTGCAGGATGCTGCAGGACTCGCTTTCCCCTGGCTGCACTATGTAGATGGCCCATGGTTTCTCACCACAGCTGCCCTCTCCCAGCCAGGCCCTGGCCAACTTCTGCACCCCAGGACAATTTCATCTCCCCAGGTGGTGAGCCTGTCTGCCTTCTCTGGGAACCCTGAATCTGAGACCATGGTGTGCTCTGGCCGGGGCTAGGCTGGAGGTCTCTGGGTGGCCAGGATGACAGGTGTCTACCTGCTAGCTAGCACAGACAGGCCCCTGCCTTTAATACTGAAGATAAGAAAGGAGAGCTGATCCAAAATGAACTAAATTCATCTTGTTTTAAAGCAGCAAGTACCTGGAGGGTCAGCCCCCATCCCACCCCGCAGTGAGAGCTCAACGAGTCCTGAAGGTGAGAAATGCCCCCACGACCTCTTTTACTTTTTTATAAAACCAGAAGTCGCTGCCTGCCCTGATCTACATCTTTGCTGAGTTCAGCTTCTATTTTCCCCTATTAACTAATTCTAACCCATACAAAGTGCCTGAGTCTGTTACCAAGATGTGACTGCTGTTCACGGTCAAACCTGAACAGAGCTGCGCGCTTCCTCTAATCCTTTGCCTACGGCCACAGCTTCCCCAGAGGGCGGGCAGCTCCCACCCAGGGCTCTGCCTGCGAGGAGCCTGGGATGTGAGGGAGAAGACAATGAGGTGGGGGTGACCGTGCTGGAGAGGAGAACCAGTGGGGGGGCCGTCCCCAGCCTCTGGATGGCAGGGAGGAGAGGCAGGTTGTCAGGGAAGACTGGAAGAGGCAACATTGGACTTGGACAATTAGTAGCAGTTGACAGGATGGGGATGGGGACTGAGGGCGCGAGGGAAGATGGGGGCAGTGCCTTCTGCTGGTTTCAGCTGTCACGTGCAGCACACGCCACCCACCAAGCCCCATGAGGACCCCACTCCTGAACTGTTTGGTTTGTCAAAACCAAACGCCTCCAAATTTGAAAAGGTCTAAGTGACGCAGTATGTCTTCTGACTATAGCGCATTCAATTAGAAACCAATGAGGCATCTCTGGAAAATTCCAAGATACGTGGAGATGAAATAACACACTTAAACCCCAAGGGCAAAGAGAAATCGCCGAGGGACAGCACCGGGGCACAGGATGGGGATGCTGCCACGTGGTGTCTTCCGTGCAGGCTGGACACGGACGCCGTGTGGGGAGGGAATGGGAAAGGCCCGAAACCAGCCTGCCGGGAACCAGATGCCCTATGCCAAGCACCTGTTCCGAGCAGCTCTGCAGCAGCTGCTTGTCCGTGTGTAAGCTTGGGCAGTTCCACTCACACCCTGTAGCCTTCCTGGCCTCCCAGCCTGGGGTAGGGTGGGCTGTTCAGATCCTAATAACTCCGAGTCTGGTCGGAGACACTGCAGCCCATGACAGAGCCCTGTGGTTAGCAGGGACAGCTGTGTGCCTGCCCCACACGTCTCCCCACTCGCGACCTTGCTTAGGCTCACTGGGGCAGGCCCTCCTAGCAGGGTATTTGCAAAGTGGTTCACTGTGTGTTATTAAAATGATACTCTGTGTGTCCTGGAAGCTCTAATGGTTCACCACAGCTTCTGCTTTCCCACCATGGCTGAAGGCGATTCTCTCATTGTTTTACATGAACCAAGGCATCAGTCAGTCCACTGGAGGGAACCAAGACTCTGGCGCCAAGCCCACACAGCCTAGAGGATGAAAGAGGATGCCTCGCCTAGGCCCCCTGCAAATGAGCAGGTGATGCCCTGACACACATGATGTGGCCAGTCCAGCCCTCCTCACCCTGAAGTGGGCTGCAGTGCCTGGAGGCTCTGTGCTAAGCCAACCAAGTCAGGCACAGATGGGCAAGGAGGTTTGCATGTGGTTGCCAACGGCGGGCCCAGCATTTCTTTGAGAAGGCATGAAATGACCTGAGTCAGTGGCAATGGCTGAACATCTCTGGGAATATCCCAGAACCCACCGGATCAGGCATATTAAACGAGGAATTACACAGTGGATGAATCGTATCTCCACAAAGCTCCTCTATTTTCCCGGGTCCCTGCCCTCAGTCCTGCTTCTTCTCGGGCTCCCGCTATGGCCCTGAGCTCGCTGTCAGGCTTCTCTGGCCAAAGACGGGTTCCTGTACCCAGAGAGGGAGGGCGGGGCCTGGGTTCTGCTCTGTGCCTTGGCCTCCAGGGAAACACATGGGGAAGCCCTGGGATGGACACCAAGGGAGTATGTCTGGAAAAGCTCAAGCAGCTATAATCGCTTGGGAGCTGGCAGGTGACTGAAGGCAGAGCAGGCGGACGACCTGTAATGGTTCTGGTCTGCCACCTGGTGTCCACTGTGGGGAAGGACAGGAAAAGCAGAGGAAAGACCTGCAGGCCCCTGAGTAGAAGTCAGGGCTCTGTGGACTCGCCAGGGCCTGCCTGCCTGGTCAGGTTCAGGATCACTCAGGAAGGAAGGGCTCCAAGGCTAGGCCTCAGGAGGAAGAGATGTATATAAAGAAAGGACATGAGGCCTGCCTGGGACAGGCTGTGGAGTGGAGCTATGGGGCGGAAGTGATCCTGCAGAGGACACGAGTGACAGAGCCCCATAGAGTCCAAGGATCCCCATAGCATAATGATGGTGGGACAGTAACCCCAAAAGACCCCCAGCCTCACGTGTGGACACGAGACGAGAGCTGCAACTTGCTGCCTGCCTCCCTGCGCCTCCAGCCTGGCTCTTCTACCCTGCGTTTTCCTTGTCTTGCTCGTGCCTCAAGCGTGAGCTCCCAAGGGCACCCGAGGACCTAGTGCCTGGTGGACTAGCTGTAGTTACTACAAGGGCTTGCAGCATGCCGGTCCCTAGGACTCCCGATGGCTCCTCCTTGTCAACACCCTTGCCGTTCTGGTGACACAGATTTCTGCAACTGCATGACCAACCCACGATCCTCTTCCAGCCGTGGCCCCGTTCGCCTGACTGTCCTCGCCAGCCCCACTCTCAGAACAGTTTCAATACAACTTCAGCCAATGGCCACCCAGCCCTCCATCCACTGTCCCCTAGCTTGCCTCGCCGTGGGGAAGTGCACACAGACCTCAGACCTGCCTCCTCAACCTGACCGAGTTGACCACCTCCCGCCCCAGATTCCACCCCAGCCTGTCTGCTCTGTCTCCCAGCCCCTGGATCTACATCCATGGATGTCAACTAGGGCCACTCACTGGAGCCATGAGGGATTCTTAGGTTCCAGCCGGGGAGCGTCCAGCGGTTCCTAATGAGTGGCTAAGGTGAATGTTCCATGTCTGGAAGTCTGAATGGATTATGAAGAGCTCCAGGCTGTCCAGATTCCAGGCCTGACCTCCCAGGAGACGCGTGGTTGTCTGTACTGCGGAGGATGCTTACGCCCCATGCCAGCAACCAGAGGGAGATGGGAGGGCGCGGGGTGGGGTGACGGGGGAGGAGGCCCATTCCTGCTTGGCACAGTCATTTGCATCCCCCTGAGTTTCACCGCCAAGGGAGTGGCCTTCGAATATTCAAAGACAGAACTACTGAGCTCCTGGGTCTTCTATTCCCCAGGTGCTGTGCCTGACCTGCACGACACAGTCTAGCACATTCCACAGAAGCGCTGCCCAGGGACTCAGCAGGGACCCAGCTCACCTTGCACTGATCCAGTGGGGTGTCCTCCGTCTCCCGGAAGACCACACTGAAGGAGATGCTCTTGGGGTCGGAGGAGAAGACCCAGCTGACGGTGAGGCCTGCCTCGGCCACGGTGATGGAGATGAGGCTGTAGGTGCTGGATCGCACGAACAGCTCCCGGGGACCCTCCCCGAAGCTGGCGATCTCCTCCGTGGTGAGGGGTAGTTTGATCCTGAAATGACATAGGTCACTCAGAGGTGGCTGGAGACCCCCGAGAGCTCCTGGGTGACCCAGACTACCAACCTTAGTTGCTGGATGTGGAATTCCCAAGCACTATCTCTGTGCCTGGCATGGTCCCAGAGCCTAGCAGTGAGTACCACAGGCAATAGTCCCTGCTGTGCGGACCTGAAAGCCCAGGGAGTGAGGGCTGGGGCTGCTTGTGCCCCTCGTGGACAGGAAGTAAATGCCAAGCCCCTGTGCTCAGCTGTCCATGTTCTGACTACCCTTCCACCTAACTGGCACAGTCCCTGCTCCGCCCCAACCTTCTCAAAGGACTCTCGGGTCCCCGGTGAAGTTCCACATGGGCACCCGATCTCTCCTGACAGCAGGAGACACTTACCGGGGCTCTAGCTCTCACTAACTGGGATGTTCAGCCTCTTTCCTGAGTTTACAGACCACTGGCAAGACTGTCATAGGACGCAGGGTACAAGGGAGAAGGTGGGGTGAGGAGCCAGGGAATGGACCTTGCTTATCTGCCAAGGTTTTGCCTCTTGGGGGCCCAAGTTCTGTTGGTGGAACAAGAACCAGCCTGGCTGCCTCAGGCCTGGGTGCGTGTGACCTTCACACATGAATTGATTCTGCAGGGGATGTCTCCTGATGGCCTGCCTTGAGGCGCTGCCCAGGCTCAGCGGTGCCCCCTCTTGCAAGAGGGGCAAGCCCAGGAGCTAGGGGCACAGCTGCTACTTGACAGTGGTGTGGCCTCAGGCCAGTCACTCTCTCCCCCTTTCTCTCTCTGGCTCTCAGACTGAGGAAAGGGAAGGTGGCGGCCAGTGTGACCTGCGCCCTCTGCCCATCCCTCTGTGCGCTGCCACATGGATATGTGAGGAAGGCAGGACTGTATCCATTATATAAAGCAGGAAACGCGGATCCTAAAGTCTGGGAAACATTGTCCAGGGTCATACCAGCTGACTCTGAGCCATCACCTCCCTACTGTACTACACTGCCTCTGCTGGAGAAAACGCACCCCAGGGAGGAAAACAGGGCACAGAGAGGTTAGTTAACATGCTGGAGGCTGCACAGCAAGGAAGCAACGATGCCGAGAGGAGGCTGATGGAGATACTCCCCAGGGCCGTGGGAAGAAGCACCATCAGTTCCTCCAAACGCCTCGGAGCTCAAAGAACAGCATGGGTACACATCACTCACCTCTACGGGGGACTGACTGCAGCACAGCACTTCTGGCTGGGTTAGCTTCAGCTTCAGTTTTAACTATAAGCCCTTGCTACAGTCCTGAGAATGCTGAGCCAAGGGGTGGGGAGGTCCCATCCCCCAGATCTTTCTTCTAACACGGGATGCTTTGCATACCAGCACCTGGGATGTCACTGAGCCGGGCAGGATGTCCCATCCATGCCGGGTCACCTGACAGCCACGTGCTCTGGCACCCTTCCCCGGCACCTGGACTGTGCCTCCGCTCTCCCTTCTGTGTCACCTGCTTGCTCTCTCCCCAGGAGATGCTACCATGTGTGCACATGCGCAGATGTGGACAGAGGAAGGCCCTACGTGCACGCCTCAAGGTGCAGACGCAATTCCCATCATGCCATCTGCAGATTCCAGCATGTGTGAGCTCGGGGGGCGGCACCAGCTGACTGTCCATGTTCTGAGACAATCCCCTTCTTCAGCGTGTGTCTGGGTCTCTGGCACTGTGCTTGTTAAGCCTTAGCTTGTCGCCAGTCTCTTTGAAAGAGGCAGGAAAGGGCAAGTTCCGAGGGACTGCCACCTTGGAGCTCCCATACACCTTCTGCCAGCCTAATCTACAGACTCGCATGGTACTGCGCGCTCTGAGAGTTTGCCTGGATTCTCTGTGTGCTTAATGCCATGAGTTTTCTTCTCATCATTCTGCTGAAGGCAGATTTTTAAAAAGATTTATTTATTTTTATTGGAAAATCAGATATACAGAGAGGAGGAGAGACAGAGAGGAAGATTTTCCGTTTGATGATTCACTCCCCAAGTGGCTACAACAGCTGGAGCTGAGCCAATCCAAAGCCAGGAGCTTATTATGAATCTTTCACGTAAGTTCAGGGACCCGAGGACTTGAGCCTTCTCTGGTACTTTCTCAGGCCATTAGCAGGGAGCCAGACTGGAAAGGGAGCGGCCAGGGCTTGAATTGGTGACGTTATGGGATGCTGGTGTTGCTGACAGAGGCTTTAGCCTGCTGTGCCACAGCGCTAACACCTAGGAACAATTTCAAACACTGCCCTGCTCTTTGGCACTGAGATGAATAAAACCTGGAAATAAATTCAGCAATCACTGTGTAATTGCAGGGCAGGGAAAGGAAGCTGAACTTTCCAGGGACCGAGGACCTGAGGAAAATCCCAGCAGCTGGCCACCTCTGGGTCCCCTCCCAGCGATCATCAACAACCACCTGGCAGGCTAAGAGCAGGAAGATCCCACTGAGCAGGAAAATGCCCTCTACAGAGACCCCCACGGATACCCCTAGACACCCCCATGGACACCCCTGGATGCCAGAGCAGGCTGGGGAGGCTGTCAAAGCAGCTGTGTCCACTCTGTGTCTAACCATTCCTGCTGCGAGTGGCATGTATGGAACACCCTGCCACCTTCAGCTGTGTGTAGCCAATCACCATTTCCCTATAGCAGATTCCCAGGTTTGCTGGGTCAAAGGGAACACAGAGTATCTGAACTCCTGGGTACATTCTGCAGGGAGGGCGAGCCACACACCCTCCTCCCTCAGAGTCTGCAGCTCGGGAGCAGGCGAGCAGTTTTCTCTGTGTTTGGCTGGACTGACTCACACATCCCTTATTACAGGGTTCCTGTGTGTGCGGTGTGAGGTCATCCGAGGACTGGCTCAGCGCCTTCTCTACCGCGATCCTGCAGGACACTGTGGTGGTGCCGCCTCCACGCCTGACTTCATCTTTGCACTCTCTCTGCGGTCATCTGGCCCACGGACAGGACTGCTCCGGCCCCTCCTGGCTGCTCCCCCTACGTCTGCTCTCGCCCCTCCACAGCCCACATGACAACCAGAACGCTCCCTTCCACGTCTATTGCAGGCCTACGCTTTGGGCTCCCAGCTCCCTCAGATCCAAAACGTCCTCTGAGTGGCTAACGAGGCCCTGTGTGATGGGGCCTCTACTCCCTGGCTAACTATGCCTCCTCTAGTCTCTGGTGTCTGCTGCGGCCACCCTGGCCCTCCTAGCAACCTTTCCACATGTCAGTTTCCTGAAATGCTCTCTCTCCCTTCAGACATCTGCCTGGCAGTGCTGTCTCCTTCTTCCCTCAAATGCCACTTTCTTAGTGCCTCTCTGTTTAAACCTATAAGCTCTTCTCCTCACCCCTCCCCGACTCCCCACTTCTCTCTCCTCTTTACTGAGCCTTGGCCATGAGAAGCATCACCCTGGAACAGATGGCACGCTACTTGTTTACCGACATGGACGGACCATTGGCTGCAGTCTAACAACTATTTACAAGACATCTGCGCTCCATTAGGTATTGTCAGTAATCTGCAGTTGATCTAAAGCAATATATGCAAATAGCGCATATGCAGATGCTGCACTGGCTTCCTTGAGGGACTTTGGCAGATCTTGGTACCTGTGGGGTGAGGTGAGGCCCGGAAGAGCCGGGGATGACAGTGCTCTGAGAAGACTGGGGAGCCACACTTCACCAGTCCACTTATGTCCCTCAGCCTTGCTTTCTTAAAACAGGGAACCAGAGACCCCTGGGAGTGGGAGAGTGATGGCTGCCAAGGGGGCTGGGAACTTTTCAGGGTGATGGAAATGGCCAACGTCTTAAGCGTGGTGGTTATTTCACCAAGTTATTCGACATCCAAGCACTGTACACTAAGAAATATGAATCTTCATGCATAGAAATCATATCTTAAGAAAAACAGAACTCGAACGGAGGCTCCCATGGGTGCCCGACTCCAGCCTAGGGCTGGGCAAGGGCTGGCACTTACATTAGCTCCCCGGACTTCAGCAAGCAGATCTCAGCGTCCTGCCCCATAGAGGCATCCTCCGTGTCCTCGGGGGTGAGCGAGTTAGACGTGGCGTCCCTGCAGAGTTGCGAAGGAGAACACAGCTGTTAGTCTCTCCGCGCACAAGCTCCTTATCCTGAGAGCCACCGTCTGGGCGTCCTGCAGCCCATCTTGGAAGGTATGTGGGGTCCGGGAGGCCATGACTGAGTCCCCGGTGGGCTCTGTGGAAGGCAGAGGCACAGGCACTGGGGGAAGAGGGCCACGATGACTGTCCTGACATCTTCCAGGGCTCTGGGAAGGCGTGAGCAGGAACACGAGATGACTGCTGTCTGGCTGCAGCCGGCAGAGCTCCCGCCACAGGGCCAGGTAAGCAGTGTCACGCACCCTTGTCTCTTCAGGTCAGCTCGGGATGCAGGGGCCTGCCCTACCAGGAGGACAGGAGCCTGGAGAGTGGTGTGGGCTGAGAGGGAGGTGAGGGGACAGGGCCAGGAATAAAGTGGGCAGAGCCCAAAGGTATCAAGGAAAGTCAGCATGGCAGCGTGCTCTGAGTCTCCACTGGGTGCCCCAAACTGTAGACAGCATGGGCTCCACCTGAACCAAACACTGGGGCCCGTCACCTCAGAAGCTGGGGGTGTGACACACTAGCCTGGCTCCCCCTTTCTTTGCAATTTCACTGATAGCGGATTCACTGTCACCACATATCATTAACAACTCTGCGTGCAGTACTGCTGGCATTTCACTGTCAAGCGCATGGCTGTGGAGTGAGATGCTCCATCCTTCCACAAGGGGGAGCACCCACAGCACACATACAGTCCCCCACCATCCAAGTCCTGGGTCTGGGGACTGAGGCTCCACGCTCAGTCAGCAGGGCCCCGGCAAGTCCAACCCTGGATGCCCGGGCATGCGTGGGCAACACCTGGTGCTCCTGCAGTGCCAGCGGCACACTGAGGACTGGTGCATCACGCTCTAGGCTGACACATGGAGCACACACAGCCTGCTCTTGTCCTCCAAGCCCCCACCCCACACTCATTCCTGACACTCCAGGCACACCTGTGCCAGAGCACTAGTCATGTTGGCCTCAGCCACCTGCCGCTGGATCTTATGTTCTCCTGGACCACAATCTCCTTGGAAGCGAAGGCTGCCGCTGAGCTCTCCCTGCCAAGCAGGACGGTCCCGGCTCCCTTGCTCTCATCCTTGTCCAAAGTGTACACACCACAAACAAGACAGAAAACAGGACACGAGAAGAGAAAATGCTGGAAACTGCAGCTGCTTCTCCCGATTTTCCTGAGTTTAGGAAAATGAAATCCTAGCCTCTAATCTCCACTTCCTCTTCTTGCCCCTCATCTCTGCCTCATGACAGACCAGCTCAGACTTCCTCTGGGTCACCAGGGGACCTTCCCCAGTCCCTGGCTGAGGTCTGCTCGAAGGGGGCAGCAGCCTGGGCAGGCAGGTGACGCAGTCTCCGAGGTGATGACTAGGAACGGGCTCTTTCCAATGGATGCCCAACTGTGGGTCCTGCACCTTTCAAGTGGGCTGTGAATCAAGCTGAATTAGTTATGATCAGTACTGAAAGAGACAGAATAGGGTATGTCAATGCGAGAGCACGTTGCAAGCTCTATGGGTAAGCATTATTTTATGGAGCTTTTCAAACTATGTGAACATACACATGAACACCTAGGTAGTCAGGTGAAATGCATCTTTTACTGCAGGATGCGGTATAATGTTCTAGCAACTATTACACCATGACAAGGGCTTAAAAAAAAATTGAGGATGGACAGCAAACGTACAGCAACAAGAGGGCGCTCTTGCTGCACCAACAGTCATTTCTCTTGCGCGGGAGGAGGTCTTCTCAGAAGACTGGCTGGTGGCTCACCCTTGCTCTGGCTGTGGCAGCCTGCCACTAGCTAGGCTGGTGTCCTCAGATGGCAGATGTGGCCGTCCTTTTCGCGGAGTCGCCACCCTGATCCTCTCCTGAGCCCATCAACTGCTCACCCCCCGCGGGTGGTCACCTCGGTATGCCCAGGCACCCTGCCTTGTGCACAGCTGATGGAAGCTCTACTGTATTTTTTACTTATGTGCCTCCCGGTAGGGGACATAACCAAGGTGCCACGTGTGCACCAACTCAGTCGTTCAGAGTGGCAGTTGCCAGGTGTCTGCGGACGTGGTCCAGGAGCCCAAACCCTGTGCGGGGCTGGAATCCCCGGGACTTCCCTGATGCCTCCATGACACCTTCACCTGTTTTTCATTCATTGCTGTACGACTCTGATTCTGCAGAGGGCCTGGGCAGCAGGTGCCCAGCGTGTCTGGGCTGTCTGGCTGAGCAGAGAGGCCCTGGGAAGTGCTCCCTGCATCTTGCTGACAGTTCTTCTTCAGGGCACATTTCCCTGCTCTTAGCAAGCCAGCACAGGGCCAGGCACGGCTGGCTCCACAGGCCTTCAGCTCATGCAGTCACTGCGAGCCACACTTGCAAGCGCTCCTGGTGACAAGGCTGGCAGCCACCGAGTGTGGGTCCAGGGCCTGTCCATCACGGCAGAAGGGTCTGCAGACCAGGGCAGATAGGTCCCTCTGTGCCACATTCATTGTGGGATCTGAGGGGAGCATCTTTCTACTTTGCTATTAGGCTTATCGCTATTATTAGTCTTATTAACTTTTTCTTGCCAGCAAAGTCATAGGAGCTTTCTTTTTCAGTCATAGACTATTCTTTTTGTAAAAGCCACATGAAGCTGAGCACCTCTGGTACTGTGACGTCTGGTGGCTTGGGGGGGTCTGACCACAACACGCACACTTGCATGCTGTGCTCCCAACCACCGCGAGGGGCGCTGCTGAGCAAGCCGCTTTCAACTCCCTTGCAGATTCTTGCTTGCAATGGGCGGCCCTTCTGTGGCTCCCGGCAGGTGCCGGGGTCTTCTCCCCAAAACAGCAAGCGCCCTCTCCCTTGCATCCTGGGATGGCCACCCCAAGAGGTCTGGCTGGGAACACAGGGAGCCGGGAAAGGCAAGCAGGAGAGTGCAGTGGAATTCACCAGAGCCTGCAGTGTCCTTGTCTTCTAATATTGTTTAGAAAATTTGCATTCCAGGGGAAATCCGAGACAAACATGATTGAATATTCATCATCAAGTTCAGTTTCCTTTCAAATAAAAGTAATGTCCTTGAACTGACACAGCACATACAATTTTGGCCTCCTGGCTGAACGGCTCAGATCCCAAAGAGGTTTGCTACAAGTCTTCTGTATTAGATATACCTTTTCTTTACCATAAGATTCCAGGGGCTGCCAGGCCTACAGACACGCACATTCCCCCACATACTGCACAGCCATGGCAGGCAGTGGGTACAAAGCTCTGCTGTTCCCATGGAGCCCAAAGAACTGCTGAGAAGAGCCTGGCTGAGCCACTCTAAGCGCCCACGGCTTGGCCTGCATGTCACAGTCGCCTTGGTCCTGCCACATACTCTTCTTGCAAAGCTTGGAGATCCCACCTTGTTGGACAGCCTTGTTCTAAGTGCTGTCCTGCTCCTCAAAGAGATGGTCTCTTTCAGAAGGGTGGGTGTCTCGGCCCATCCCGCTCACCCAAGTCCATCTCCCAGCCTTCCCATGTCCACCTATGTCCACTAAGTCGTACCCAAGCAGCCTCACGGCTTCTGTTGCTAATGCCCGCTCCACTCGTCCAGACCAGTTTGTAGTGCAGGGTCACCTGAATGAGTTCACTCAACACAATGGCCTGGGAGGCCTTCCGAGCTTCTCCCAGCCCCCCCCCCCCCGGGACAGCTCCACCCTCAAAAGAGCAGTGCCAGGGGCCATGGCTTTTCTGCTAGCCTGACCCTCGATGAACCAGACCAGGTGGCCTCATCCTCTGACCTCCTGGTTGGCCATTACCAAGGGACCAGGAGGAGCTGTTGGACTGCGGCGACACTGGTAGCTGTTTCTACATCTATGGGGTAGCTCCCACTCACAAGGTCCTTCAGAAGAGGGACATCAGAGGGTGTGCCCAGTGGGTGGGGCAGAGTGGCAGCACTGTGGGAAGAAGTGGATCAGGAGTGCCAGGCAGGCAGGCAAGAGAGGCCTGGCACCTTGGCAGGTGGGCAGCTGCTTCCAACAGAAACAAGAGTCCAGACCTCTCCATCAGGAGGGAGCAGGGGATGTGGTTCAGGCGGCCATTCCTCCAACGCCCACCTTGCAGGTGTTATTTTGCTGGGGTCACTAGGTTGGATCATGGTGACTAAACACCAGAGTTACATGAAGATCAAGGTGCTCAGTATCAAGGAACTCCCAGGGCAGATGCAGCAACCCAGGGATCTAGAGGCTTCCCTTCAGGATGGGAGGGTGGGGACACTGCCTGCCTAGGGACCTGAGAGGTCTGGGTCCAGTCCACCACAGGCAGGACTTGAAAGCCAGTAAATGCAGAGGTGGCATGTTTCACATGGCCTGTGGATGTTGTCCCAAACACCAAAGGGCTCTTGACAGAAAGATGTTCCCCGCCCCTGGGTGGAAGAGGGGCTGCGGAGGTGCTCTGGCACCCCTGCCATGGAGAAGCCCCTCTGGCCCACTGGTCTGGGCAGTGCTGGAGACCTGAGTTTCCAGCTTTGTACTGCCAGGTGGCCGCAATCAGTGCACACACCTTGCACTGGTCCAGCTCTATACAGTTCCAAAGAGACACACAGCATGCAAATGAAATAATCCCAAGGGACAAATGTCCATGGCCGGGGGAACTGGCAGAGTCTAGTCTACCTTACCCTGCTCCCCTCGGGCTTCCAAATAGAACCTTCCTAGGCCCTGACAGAATAAACCCCAATCCAAGAGGTGGGGAGAAGTGTGGGGGGAATCAAAGTATCCCTTCACATCTCCCTCTGCCCCCCACCAAATGACATACGTGCAGGCTGGTTACGTGGATTCTGAGCTGCAGAAGGCAGGGGTAGGGGGTGGCGGGGCGGGGCGGGGCGTGGGTCTCTCAGAGCAATCATAAATACTTGGCGGAAACCTGGCCACCGCAGTGGAGGTGGCCCTGGTCTCGTGAGCAGGCTCATCTCTAGAACCAACTGACGAGGTTGCTGTGTTGGTGAGTCATTTCTCTTGCCCTCATGGGG